CTTTCTCTTCATTTAATAAACATATAAAAATTATGTCCAAATATCAGGGTAATGTCCCGATAATCTATAGGATTTATTGATAGCCATTGTAAACGGAGGAAAATACAATAGATAGTCAAGGTTATCAACGGATAAAATGCTGAATTGCCACTGTTGTTGTCGCCGTTGTCGTTGTCAATTGTCACTGTGGTTGTTGTGTTGTGGTTTTACCAACATATATGAGGGCACATATCAATGTCCACAGTGTTCCAAATTGAACAATTATGAGGTCTGAAACAGTTGAATAAAATACTGAGAGGACTATCAAACAATTTATTCAAAAATCTTGAAAAAAAAAACCATAAAATAAAGAGACAAAAAAGAAAAAAACTATTAAAAATATATAAAAAAAATAATAGATTATATGTTTGCCTATAAATATTTTGATCTTCCTATTCTTTTTCGCCTCCTCATCATTCTCCTCTTCTGTTTCCCCAATTTTCCATATTTGTTTACTACACAATATAAAATGTTTTTTAAACCTAAATTATGACCTTATAAGCATTTTTCTTTTCTGATCTCTCATACATTTTTTTTTTTTGCTCTTTATCTATCAAAAATTCGTCAACTTTCGTTGACATTCTTTACTGCTATAAATTTTTTTTTAGTTTGTAAAAAAACCCAATAGAATATAAAAGCAAAAAAAAAAAAAAAATTCGGAAACATATTTGTTTATTCATTTTTTTTTATAAAATCAATTGTAATTTTTGTAAAAATTCCAAAGAAAAAATGTAGTAATCTTTTAAGAACTTAAGTAATACTTCTGCTGTTGGTTTACTGCATATTGTCAGGGATACTATGGTTAGCTATTTAGAATAGTTTTAGATGTAACAAAAATTTGAGTTTCAAAAAGGTAGAGATAAAGTTAAGGACAACCTGAATAGGATAACAGTGGTTTATTGTTGCCGAGTCAAAAGTGATTAATTAGCAAAAAAAAATTTTACTGTTTAAATTACCGTAAATTTGTATGAATTTATCAGATACAAAAGGTCATTTTAGGAGGCACATAACAAAAAAAGAAAAAAAAAGCAAAAACTAAAGAGATTTTCAAAACACAGTTTAGTCTATGGTTTTTCCCATGTCAGTCAAATACTCTAATGTTTTTTTCTGGTTTTTTTTTTTTT